CACCCTGGCTCTCCAGGTTTCCAGGTAGGGGTCTCTCCCAGCCCTGTTTGGAGAGGCATGGGGTTTGGGACCTTCTGCATGCCAATCAGATAAGGACATAAGAAGAGCCTGCTGGATGAGGCCAATGGCCCACCAACAACCAGATGTCTGTGGCAAGCAAGCAGGATCTAGGTTTGCATCCATCATCTCCAACTGTAGCAGCAGGCTCCATAACTGAACTCCGTTCTGCGTGAAGAAATGCTTATATCTCTCCCGAATCTTCCAACGGCCATCTTGATTGGATGCCCACAAATTCTACTGTTATGAGAGAGGGACAAAATCTTTCAAAAGAAAAGAATCCCAAACGCAGGGACCTTTTTCTCATAGGGGAGCTGCTCCACCTCCTCGATAATTTGGGTTGCCCTTTTCTGAACTCCAACTCTTTCCCAGATACCCTTAACACTGAGCTATGGCCACCACACACCCAGAGTGTGGCTATTTACACAATTTATGCATAAGATTGTGGAGTGCAGAGACTAGTGGTTACCTTTCCCAGCCACTGTTGCTAGTAGAATACACCTTCCTGCAAATGCGTTGTCGGATGCTGTTGCTGCTTTTTAATTTTTTAAAAAACTAAGTTTCTAGACCTTATGACCAAAGGAGTGCCTGAAAGTGCTCCCGTGTTTTTCAGTTAAGGTTGGTTCACCAGCTATAGCTCTTCTTTTTTTAAAAAAAAAAAAGCAAAAAACTAGGCCTTATGACTGTGCTGGGCAGTCTGGTAAAAGGAAAGGTTTTTGTTGTTGCCTTCTTGTATCTCAACCAGGTGTTCACACCTGTCCTCTGTTTTCATTAGCCTTTTTGGCTCTCCTGGGGCATTTGAGGCAGATGCAGGGAGGGGGGTGATTGCTAATTCCTGGCGCAAAATCGCTGATGGACAGGATCGCCAGGAACCCTTTGACTTAACACCCAAAAACAAATCTCCTCTTTTCCCCCCAAAGCAGCCTCACGTCCTGCCAACCTTGACATCGCTTGCGGGCGGCCGGCCGGCTGCCTACTGAGCCTCCTGTCAACTCTTCGAAGACGAGTTTTGATCTGACGACACTGGGAAAATAAAGTCTCAGAAGAAAGGGGCTGAAGAATCTCTACCGGGGTGCCAAGAAACAGGGGAGATGTGAGCAGCAAAGGCAAAAGAGGTTCAGCAACAAGGTCTCTGGTTGCAAGAATGCCTGCCAGAGGCATTGGTGGGTGCCCAAAGTCTCAGGGTGCAAAGTTGCCTCTGGGAAAATAAAGATGGCAAATGGCTTGAGTCTCACTGGCACTGTACTTTGCTGCATGCACAGAAATCCTGTACACACTGGGCAAACATTTTGTGCCTCGGGGCCACACTGGCCTCCGAGGGGCTGCTGGTGGTGGGTGGAACCCCTGGGAAAAAATAGGGGGGGGAAGGCCTTCTCTTTGGACTCAGAACCAGAGCTGTCAGGCAAAGGTAAGTCATGGGGATGTAGCAGTTCTTTGTGAATGGGTGTCCTCAGGCTAATCAAACCATCAGAAGGATGTTCCAGAAACTCTGGGCAAGGCAAGCCAAGGCTGGAGCTACAGATCATCTGTTGGACAAAGTCCCAGCATTCAAGAACAACCAACAGAAGGGGAAAATGGGTCAGGCTTCCAGCGGATAGAGAAGGGTGGAGAGCCAGGCAAACAGAGACCAGACTGGAGATTTCAACCAGTATCCCAGTGCCTCCCACACACTGCAAAAGTGCATAGGCATGTGAGGCGAAGCTGCTGTGGATTGCTAGGAGGCTGGCAAAATAGTCCATGCAGTCAAGCGAGCTGAAGGAACAGAGAATGGGGATTTCAACACTGGTCTCCAGGGTCGGTGTCCCACCCTCTAGCCACTGTGCTGGACATGCTTTCCTCTTCTGCTTCCCATAGTTAAACTGTGGGATTCACTGCCACAAGACAGAGCGATGACTTACATAAATTCACGGAAGGTAAGGCTATCAATGGCTCCTAACTATGATGGCTATGCACAGCACCACCAGACGCATTGTGTCTCTGAATGCCACATCCTGCAAATCACAGGCAGCGGGAGTGCTGTTGCATGACTTGCGTCCTGCTTACAGGCATCGTGTTGGCCACTGTGAGAACAGGATGCTGGACTGAATGAGCCTTTGGCTGATCAAAAAGCGCTCTTCTTGTGGGAAATTGCAGTCAAACATATCTATGTATGAGTGCTAGTTAGTGCATGAAGGGGTTAAGACCAGAAAGTTATGTTCCTAGACTCAGCTAGCTCACACTCCCTCACCTCCATGAGGGAGGCAGCTGCTTCTCTTCCTGTTCCTCACTCACTCTTCCATGTAACTGACCAGAGCGGACATGTCTGAACCAGTGGTGGAGCAACATGCTGCAGCCCCAGAGCAGAGAACAGGCAGGGGCATGGCCGGCAAACATCCTGGGGGCATGAAACGTTGCCCAAGGGGGCATGGCATGCAGCGCAGGGGAGTGGCACGTCACCCGCAGGGGCGTGGCGTGCCTGCTGGAGTTGCATTCCTGGAGTTGCGCATCCCGGGGGGGGGCAGCCATGATGGCACCCTTTCCTGTAATGGTACCCAGTGCAGCGCATTCCCCACCTTCGTTCGCCAGTGGTCTGAACTTGCTCCAAGTTCAGACTGCATGTTTGAAACTATATTGTGTATTTTGCATCCACGAGTAATCTACTCCTTGCTGCTGCATGGAACAATTCATGAACCAGACCTCTGGATTTAGTAAGTAAAGCTTTTAAACTTATTTAAGTGTGTGGTCTGTTCATTGCAAGAAGGATAGAGAGGGGGACAAATAGCTTTAAAGCAGGCCAAATGGGACATGCAAAAGGGTCAAACAGTAAGAGCTGTTTGACAGTGGAATTTGCTGCCAAGGAGTGTGGTGGAGTCTCCTTCTTTGGAGGTCTTTAAGCAGAGGCTTGACAACCATATGTCAGGAGTGCTCTGATGGTGTTTCCTGCTTGGCAGGGGGTTGGACTCGATGGCCCTTGTGGTCTCTTCCAACTCTATGATTCTATGATTCTATGAAAAGGGTCTAACAACTCATATCTCCACACTATTCTGCTGGTTATAAACTCTGCTGGGAGCTCTCTACCGCTGGAGAATGTACAAAGACCTGCATTTTGAATCTAGGTGCCCAGCCAATTCTTTTGCTAATGACCCACACGTGGGTCAGATCTATTTTCCACCTCCACACTTCTTATGTCTAGATCCTGGACTCCTGGCAAGTCAACCATGCAACGCTCTTCCATCAACTACACTCTTTCTTACCAGAATGTCTCAAATGGAAAGCAAAGTAGCCTGAAGAATTTTAACGCTCATTGCCCAGCATTACTCCTAACTAGGCAAAATGCAGATGTACAGATTGAGCTTGACACCTTGTCCCTCCTCCCTCCCCCCATCACCCCTCCCACCATACGGCCTGCATTATGCCTTTGAAGGCTCAGGCCCCATGGGAGATTAGCCAGGGCCAGTCTGGTTCCAAAGGATGTGTGAATCACACCCAGTTGCAGCGGTGGCAGATTAGTCAGTGTTGATTATCTCGTTCTCCAAAATGCTCCTTTAGAAGGCTGGAAATATTAAGCTGAAATGCTGCTCAAGTTTCCTTTTGCCTCCTGGAAAAGCCATGCTATGTGAAAGCAAAGGAGGAAGGGGTCCAATAAGGCTGTGCAACCCTAAGTGAGGGGGGTCTCGTGGTTGCCATTACAAATCTGACTGCACATCTCCAAGCTCCAGAGCAGGCAAGAACCCACATAGCTGTTGACACTCAGCATCAGTTTATGCCAGGGGTTCCCAGGAAGCTGGTGGCGCTGTGGTCTAAACCACTGAGCCTCTTGGGCTTGCCGATCGGAAAGTCGGCGGTTCGAATCCCTGCAATGGAGTGAGCTCCCATTGCTCTGTCCCAGCTGCTGCCAACCTAATAATAAATAATAATAAAATTTATTTATACATCGCCCAGCCAAGACCGGGCTCAGGGTGGCTAACACCAGGTAAAAACAACTGATTAAAATACAACAAAAACAAGATTAAGTACAACATTAAAATGCAGCCTCATTTCAGTAGAAACTCAAATCAAAAACTTTTTGGGGATGAAAAGGTCAAATCTTCACCAAGGCCAACTATCCAGACTGGTCCTATGTGGGCCAGAAAAAAGCCAGGGAAGTCCCCAAATAGGAGTTCCATCACAGAAGGAGAAAGGGAAAAGGAAAGAGGGGGAGGGGATCAAGTTGATTCCAAGCCAAAGGCCAGGCGGAACAACTCTGTCTTACAGACCCTGCGGAAAGAAATCAGATCCCGCAGGGGCCTGGTCTCATGAGACAGAGCGTTCCACCAGGCCGGAGCCAGTGTTGAAAAGGCCCTGGCTCTGGTTGAGGCTAATCTGACTTCCTTAGGGCCTGGGACCTCTAGGGTCTTGCTATTTATGGACCTTGAGGTCCTCTGCGGGGCATACCGGGAGAGGCGGTCCCGTAAGTATGAGAGTCCTAGGCCATGAAGGGCTTTAAAGGTCAAAACCAGCACCCCCTAGCAGCTCTAAAGCACACCAATGCAAGTAGATAAATAGGTACCACTGCAGCGGGAAGGTAAACAGTATTTCCGTGTGCTCTGGCACTTGTCACAGTATTCCGCTGCGCCAGAAGCTGGCCACATGACCCAGAAAGCTGTCTGTGGGCAAACACCGGCTCCCTTGGCCTGAAAAATGAGATGAGAGCTGCACCCCATAGTCACCTTTGACTGAACTTAACCGTCCAGGGGTCTTCTTCTTTTCCCCAAACCTTTTTGAGGCACTGCTCCTTTGATTCCAAGAACTCATTACCCTACCCCATAAAAAGCATTATTCATAATAGAGGTTTGCAGGCCCCACTAGGGAAGATAGTAACACCATAAAATTCAAAGCAGTAACAATTACTTGCACATTTATTCAAAATCCAATTAAAACTGTTCGGTTTAATTAATTCAATGAAACTGATGAACTTGATCTAGTGGCAGTCTGGTAGTCATTTACACCTCCAACACCTCACTGCCTCTCAGCATCCGCTGCTAGGCAATCCCGGTGCTCCGTAGGGTAGGACTCGAACCCATGGCTTCAAGTCACAAGAAAGGAGATTCCAATTATACACCAGGAAGGATTTTCTGGCAGTAAGAGCTGTTCGGCAGTGGAATGGTCTTCCTCTGGAAGTTGTGGCCAGAGGTTTTTAAGCAGCGGTTGGATGTCCATCTGTCATGGATGCTTTAGCTGAGATTCCTTCATTGCAGGGGGTTGGACTAGATGACCCTCAGGGTCCCTTCCAACTCTACAGTTCTATGATTCGATGAAATGTCCAACTAACTCGTTCTGTCAGTGCAAGGATTTCCACTTCCACAATGAAACATCTCCTCCCCTCCCTTGTTCCTGCCCCTGCCCAGCCTGCTGCAAATTGCCGCTTGTTCCGATTTAGCACTAAAGAACGGGTTTTTCAGGGGAAAGCAGTGGGGCAAAAGGCAAAACCAGCCAGACCCATGCCTAGAAAGTGTGGGTCAAGCAGAAAACAGTGCAGACAAGCCTTGTGAAAGCAAATACAGTGGTACCTCGGGCTAGGAACTTAATTCGTTCTGGGGGTCCATTCTTAAACTGAAACTGTTCTTAACCTGAAGCACCACTTTAGTTAATGGGGCCTCCTGCTGCCGCTGCGCCGCCGGAGCACGATTTCTGTTCTCATCCTGAAGCAAAGTTCTTAACCCGATGTACTATTTCTGAGTTAGCAGAGTCTGTAACCTGAAGTGTCTGTAACCCAAGGTACCACTGTATCGCAAATCCATTTTGCATCATATAAAGGCGTGCTTTCTTTAGTCCATCTTGAAAGCAGCATCATTTCCACCCCAAAAAAAGCAAGCCACATACCCCTTTGGTGCCCACAGCTGGTGAGAAAAGACAGGCTTCTGTCTTCTTTGCTGACAGCATACCAAACTTTTTCCCTTTGTTGTTGTTGTTGTTTAGTCATTTCGTCGCATCCGACTCTTCGTGACCCCCTGGACCAGAGCACGCCAGGCACTTCTGTCTTCCACTGCCTCCCGCAGTTTAGTCAAACTCATGCTGGTAGCTTGGAGAATACTGTCCAACCAACTCATCCTCTGTCGTCCCCTTCTCCTTGTGCCCTCCCAGCACAGGGTCTTTCCCAGCATCAGGGTCTTTTCCAGGGAGTCTTCTCTTCTCATGAGGTGGCCAAAGTATTGGAGCCTCAGTTTCACAATCTGTCCTTCCAGGGAGCACTCAGGGCTGATTTCCTTCAGAAAGGATAGGTTTGATCTTGCAGTCCATGGGACTCTCAAGAGTCTTCTCCAACACTATAATTCAAAAGCATCAGTTCTTTGGCGATCAGCCTTCTTTATGGTCCAGCTCTCACTTCCATACATCACTACTGGGAAAACCATAGCTTTAGCTATACGGACCTTTGTCAGCAAGGTGATGTCTCTGCTTTTTAAGATGCTGTCTAGGTTTGTCATTGCTTTTCTCCCAAGAAGCAGGCGTCTTTTAATTTCGTGGCTGCTGTCACCATCTGCAGTGATCATGGAGCCCAAGAAAGTAAAATCTCTCACTGCCTCCATTTCTTCCCCTTCTATTTGCCAGGAGGTGATGGGCCCAGTGGCCATGATCTTCGTTTTTTTGATGTTGAACTTCAGACCATATTTTGCGCTCTCCTCTTTCACCCTCATTAAAAGGTTCTTTAATTCCTCCTCACTTTCTCCCTAGTCACATATAAACAGGAAGAACATTAGTCTCAGGTCCACCCTGCCTGCTAGGAGCCACCCACAATCAGAAGCTGTTGACAGAACAGCTGCCCAATGCCCCGGCCTTAAACAAAAGACCCGAGGGAAGGTCATCACCTCCTTTGACAGCCAGAACTACACAAGAGTGCCCTTTTAAAAATCTTATAGGGCCGCCTATCACATCTCGCAATCAGCCAATTAGTCAGTCAATCAAAGGGTTTTGAAAACCTGCATTTTCTCCATCACAAAGAACTTACCTTTCTCTTTCACACACACATAAACCTCTTTCTCTCGTAACTCTCCGAATGGAGCAATCACTCTTTTTATAAAGGTTCCCCCGTTGTGAGCAGTGATAGGCAATGTAATAATACTTTTTATTGGGTCAATATATCAGTTTAGAAAACAGAAGCTATTCCATTCTTGAGATGATGGTCAAAGGCTGACCTGGGAGCTGCAGGTACGCAGGACTCTTGACAGGTGCCCGGCGGGAGACCTGCTCTATTTACCTCACATTAAGTTTGTCTTTTCGGTCCTTTTACTGCACTTTCTATATTGTAAGCAGCCCTCATAAAACATTCTCCTGAAAGCCTGTTTCGCAGGGCGGTAAATATTCTCTCTCCCCACCCCACATCTGCTTAGGCAGGAATCAATCAATCAGAGAAATCCCCATGCGACGGCTGGGTATATCAATCAAAGTTAGAGCTCGGACGGGTGGGTGAAGGCAGTGGGGTTTCAGAGTTTGGGAGAGGCATCAACCCTACAGTGGGAGAGAAGACCATGGAAAAGAGGGAATCTGTGGCAAATTTAAACAAGAAGAGTGACTGCCATAAAACTTAGGGAACAAGCTGTACTACCAAAATGATTAAGGTTTTAAATAACAATTTTAGGTTATATTTTAGTGATCAAGATTTAATATATATTTTTAACTGCTGCTATATCTGTATTGTCTCTGTTATGCGATTCAGTGTATTCCTGTAGTGTTTTATGATTTTCCTGATATTGTAAGTGAGCCGGAACTGGTCTGTGACCATAATAATAAAATTCAATTCAATTCAGACAGGAAGGGGTTGGGTGAAGGCAGAAGTAATCTTTTAATTAAAAGCAGTCAGGCCAGTTGAAAGTGTCCTTCATTAACTGAATACAGTGATACCTTCGTTTACAACCATAATCTGTGCCGGAGGTCCGGTTGTAAACCAAAACAGGTTGTAACCCAAGGCGCGCTTTCGCCAAAGGGGCCTCCCCCCAAAAAATGGGTTGTAATTTTAAAAAATGGGTTGTAATCCAAAAAAAAGGGACACACACTTCAGGGTTTGACATGGTTGTAATCCAAAACGGTTGTAATCCAAAACGGTTGCAAACCAAGGTACCACTGTACAAATGTACTTTTCTTCCTCCCAATCTCCACATTGAATATAAATGTACCCCCTCCCCCCAAAAAAATCTCAAAACAGGCTGTGGTCCTGCAAGTTTTCATAATGATCCAGAGATGATTTGGCCACCGAACTTGAATTTGCACTTGGAAATACATTTAGCGACAGTTTGGAAATGCCCTATGTTTTTATCAAGCTATAATTTCTCATTTTTATCTGTGGAGCTGCCCAGGGAGCTTTTTGCTTCAGGGCGGCCTGTCAATAATGTAAATAATTTATCCGATGTTAGTAATACGCAGAGTAGGCTATTGAAATGAATGGGCAACTAGCTGAAATGAATGGGCAACTATTCATTTCAGTTGGTCTACTCAGAGTCCAGTTTGGTTGGGTGCAGCCTGCTAAAATGTTTATTTGTTTAAGATGTTCATATAGCACTTAATTACCTGCATTTCTAAGTGGTATACATGAAAACAAAATTTCACCCACGACGTGATCCTTTTAGCTAGCATTGCCAGAGGCAGAACTTGAGGCCTTCTGCGTTCACAGCAGATGATTTTCCCCTGAGCCATGAGTTTGATGGTTTTCTTGCTCTTTTACTATTCTTAGCTGTTTGGGGGTAAAAAAAAATTTTTAAAAAATAAATCACACATTTGAATAAAACCACAAAGCTCAGAATCCTAGCATATTAGAAGGCAAAACATATTCATCCCAAGGACAGGCATAAAGATAAGAAGAGCCTCCTGGATCAAGCCAATGGCCCATCTAGTCACAGAATCATCGAAGTGTAAAGTTGGAGGGAACCCCAAAGGTCATCCAAACCCCCGCACTGCAGGAATTTCAGCTAAAGCTTCCCTGACATATGGCCCCCCCAACCTCTGCTTAAAAACCTCCACAAAAGGAGAGTCCACAACCTCTCAAAGGAGTCTTCTTGTTCCATTGTTGAACAGCTCTTACCATCAAAAAAGCTCCTCCTGACGTTCCATCAGAATCTCCTTTCTTGTAACTTGAAGCTATTGGCTTGGGTCCTAGCCTCCGGAAAAACAAAACTGCTCCATCTTTCATGTAACGGCCCTTCAGATATTTGAAGATGGCTCTCATATCTCCTCTTTTCCAGGCTAAACGTACACAACTCCTTCAACCGTTCTTCAAAAGGCTTGGTTTCCAGACCCTTGATCATCTTGGTTGCTCTCTTCCACACACATTCCAGCTTGTCAACATCCTTCTTAAATTATGGGGCCCAGAATTGGACACTGTATTCCAGGTGGGGTCTGACCAAGGCAGAATAGAGTGGTACTACGACGTCCCTTGATCTGGACACTTTACCTCTGCTGACGCAGCCTCAAAGAGCGTTGTTGTTTTTTGTTGCTGCTGCATCACACTGTTGACTCATGGTCTACTAAGACCCCTAGATCTTTTTCACATGTCCATCATCCTGTTCTCACAGTGTCCAGACAGATGCCTGTTGGAACCCGTGTGGCGTTTGCCCTCCTAGGTGGGTCATAAGGAAAGGCTTAAATGAGTGCGATGTGATTGGCCAGTGGGAACCCAAGGGGAGGAGTTAGAGTTGGAATTGTTGGAAAGTCAGTTGGGAGTTGGAGAGGGAAGAGGGAGGATAAGTCTGTGGGTTGGTCCAGTTGTGTTGTGAGAGAGTGAGAGGAACTGCTAGGTGGAGTCAGATAGATAGCTGGGACAATCAGTTTGAAGTTGTTAGGAACGTATAGGTCAGTAAAGAAACTACGATTAAGAAACTGACAAGAAAAATTAACTGAAACCTTAAACTTGTTCATGCTTATAAAAATAAACTTGATTATTTGTTAATGTTAACAACTGTCTGGGCTCCGTGTGTACCCGAGAGAAACGGGTTGGTGGCAGCGAGGAGGCAATCACAGTAGTGGCACAGGGATCAATAGACCGTCAAACGTCCGGGGACTCTGTGTGATCGCCACAACCCGCAATCAGGATTCGAACACAACAGCCCTCTCTCCTCCTGTGGGTTCCAACAACCGTATTCAGAAGCATTGCCATCAATAGCCTTCTCTGTGAATTGGTCTAATCTTCTTTGAAAGTCATCCAACTTGGCGGCCATCATAGTTTAGCTGTGTGCTGTGCACTCTGAATCTTTCAACAGTCAGTTTCACTTAATGTCCACAAATTCTGGTGTTATGAGACCAGGAGAGAAAAAATAATTCTACCCACTTTCTCCCTGCTGCATGTAATTTTATAAACTTCTATCAAACCCTTGCTCTCATTTGCTCTAAACTACAAAGTCCCCAGAAGGAAGACGGAAATTTCAAGTTCCTCTCATTGAATTTGCACCTTCTGTGTTTCCCTGCCCTCCTGTCGGTCTTCGGTTCTGCAGAACAAACTTCTAACTGCGACGTCGTGGCTTTCAATCTCTCTCTGAAGGATGCCAAACATTTTCCAGGGAGATGTTAACACTCCTTAACTGCACCGGCTCCCATCGCTACAACTCTGCGCCCCGCAGGATTACCATTTATCCGATGCCCTGCTTGTTCCCCTTGCTTTACAGTTACTTATCTATAATAAGGCGAAAGGAAATCCAGTCACTTGGAGATAACTTGCCAGAGCAGGTGGTTTGGCTGGAGATAACTGCTCATCCAGGTGACATACAAGAAATGCAGGTAAAGTCCAGATAACAGCCAATCTGGACTGCAGACCTGATAAACTACGGGGAAACACATCTCTTACTCCCTCTCTAGTCGGATGGGAAACAAGCTGTTCCCTGCTGGATAATGTTTTCACAAGCTGAGCCTCGTAATTTTGACTGGTCGAAGTTTTAGCACCTGAGTACAGACCCAACATGAGCATTTACAGGGATGGTTAACAAGGCGTCATCAGTTCCAGCAAGGCAAAGAGGAAACAAAGGAAGACTCAGCCTGTAGGGAGCAAAAGTAGGTCTGATTGTTGCTTAGACCAGCAAGCAATCCTGATGCAGAAGTCTATGAACTGGGTCAGGAGGCATCAACTGACACTGTGGCCTGTTGCATCCTTGCAGAATGCCAGCCTAAGCTCTAAATTGACCTCTGGCATTAACTGGCAACTCTCTGGTTAACTTCAATCATGGATAATACTCCTTGGGGTAAAGCAGAAGAGAGCAATTTGCTTCTTAGAGGGATCACTGATTCCTAATATTGGGGCTAAGATGGTTAACAGTTATTAACGGAAAGCTCATGTTACATTTGCGATAGCTTGGGCTTTTGCAACCCATACTTTCAAAGCTCTTCCCACTTCCAGAAATATGCTACTTCTATTTTGTTGGTGCTTGCTGCCCACTTGGCCTTGACCTATGACAGGGCCTTCTAGGTGGTGGTTCCTATTTGTGGAATGCCCTCCCTGGTGAGGTACATCTCCCTCCCTTGTTGATAATGTTCTGGGGGAACTTAAAAACATTCCTGTTCATGCACACATTGGATAGCTGAAACAGACTGCTTTCAAGCATCAGTGATATTACGAGCTGTGACCATATGTAACCACTGCAAATGTTTTCAAGTGTTCAGAATGTTTTGTTTTAGTGGGTTATTGATTGCCAGTCCAGGTTCCTTTGAGAGGAAGGGTGAGATAGAAATTTAATTAATAGGGCCATCCTATTACATAACAACAACAACAACAACAACAACAACAACAACAACAACAACTGTTGTTGTTGTTTATTTGTACCCTGTCCATTTGACTGGGTTGCCCCAGCCACTCTGGGCAGCTTCCAACATATATAAAAACAGAATAAAACATTAAACATAAAAACTTCCCTATACAGGGCTGCCTTCGGATGTCTTCTAAATGTTGCATAGTTACTTATCTCCTTGGCTTGGGGGGGTCACATAACTCCATAGCCTCCGACATTTCTCCGATGAAATTAGGGATGTGGTGCTGTGGGTTAAACCACAGAGCCTAGGGCTTGCCGATAAGAAGGTCGGCAGTTCAAATCCCTGCGACGGGGTGAGCTCCCGTTGCTCAGTCCCTCCTCCTGCCAACCTAGCAGTTCGAAAGCACGTCAAAGTGCAAGTAGATAAATAGGTACCACTCTGGCGGGAAGGTAAACGGTGTTTCCATGCGCTGCTCTGGTTTGCCAGAAATGTCTTAGTCATGCTGGCCATGTGACCCAGAAGCTGTACACCGGCTCCCTCGGCCACTAAAGCAAGGTCAGCACCGCAACCCCAGAGTCATCCGCGACTGGACCTAATGGTCAGGGGTCCCTTTACCTTTACCTTTAAGGAAAGAGGGTACATTCCAGGATCAAATCAGAAACCGGGACGGCTTCTGTAAATCGGGGACTGTCCCTGGAAAACAGGGACACTTGGAGGGTCTGCTTCCCACTCTATGATTCTATGATTGATCCCTGCCCCCAGACCACAGTTTCAGACTTGTCTGAAGCATGCAACATAGAGCCAAACATACTTTGGGAGGGTGCTTTGCCAATGTAAGTTAGGGGCCATGACTCAGCTAATGTCTTCCAGTCCTCTGATGGTAGTAAACACTCCTCTTTCTGTTGGCTGCTTCCGCCGGCCCCCGCTCCCCCCGCCTCTTACAGCAATGAAGCCTAATCTGCCACTGCCAAGCCCCCTCTGACCTTGCCCACCCAGAGAAGCCAGCTCGCACTCAGCAGCCATCCTGGACTAGCCCTCTGTCAATACAAGTGTTTTTGTGCTGATGTGGTGACCTTTGGCTCTGCCCTGGCTCCCAACAGACATCCATTTGTTTGGTTGTTAGCCTTGATGTTTGCCCGCAGGACAGACGGACGGGGGGGGGGCTGGCAAGCGAGGCAGCGGACCATCACTGGAGCATCTGAGGTTTATTCCTGGCTCCCTTTCAGGCTTCCTGGATGACCCAAGGCAAATTGCTGAGCTCTTTCTGTGGGTCGGGTGCAGCTGCGCTTGAACCGTGCCAGTATAATGGCAGCTCAGATGCCATTATATACCAGGCAGGAATTACAGAACTGGAGGAGGCGGGAGAAAGAAGAATGTCAGGGCTGGATCAGACACAGTCCAGAAGGACATCTCCGAGAGCAGCCAAGGTGGAAGCGAGCATCCACTGAGACGGTCCTTGGAAATCAGAGACGTTCTTGCATGTGGAAATCAGAATCCTTCTGTCTCTGAATTGAGATGACGCTGATAATTCTGCCAGAAGGTTCCAGGTTCAATGGCATGGAGACATCTGAAACCCTGGCAAACCACTGCGAATCACTGCAGATGGTACTGGGCTGGATAAACCAATGGTCTGACTCAGTATAGGGCATCTTCCTACCTTCCTCTACTGCAAAGGGTGTGGCTCAATCCACTTTTATATGGGACATTATTGCAGTCAAACCAACAATTCATCATTTGCCAGATAGACACTGGAAGGGGCTGGGGCTCACAGAGCTTTCCTGTAAAAATTCCTAGAGAGAACTCTATGAGATCACTTCCTTTTTCTGCCTTGGCAGGAAGCTGCCTGCCTGAGCAGCCTCCTTTTTCTTCATCCTGCTTCCTGGCTCCCGCACATGCATGTCTGGGTTTTGCAGCTCAGACTTACATTTTCTGCTTTTGTAACTTAGTAGTTTTAAAACTATCTTCATTTTGCTACCGTAATTGCTGCTTCAAGACCTGGGCTATGTAAGTAAATCCTACTTTTATTTCTTCACAAAACAATGTGTGTGCGATTGTTGTTTCTAAGTGGGCCGGGAGAGGGGTAATGCCAGGGAAATCCAGTCTGCCTTAAAGCTTCCTGGATTACTGTTAAATCAAGCTTGTTTGAGCTTCTCTCTGAAACCCCAGAAAGCTGACAGTACTGAGCTAGATGATGTTAGCATTCCTGCTCCGTGATTGAAGTCATGGGATTGTTGTCTTTCACATGACGGTATATGTTTTGACTCCACAGAGTGGGAAGTGACGGGACCAGGATGTTTGTGTTACTGTGTTCCGTGGAGTGGGACTATTGTCCTTTGTTCTTTTTCTCTTTGCTGTCTGATGCTAGAGAGTGAGGGAGCCATGTTGCAGTGCTCTGAGTGTGTTTATATGTAAATAAAGTAGATTAGCCAAAATGCTGAGTTGCTGAGGTCTGTCACGCATGATGTGCAAACTCTGCGGATCCCTAAGTGTGCCAGTGTCGGTTGGCATTGGCCGCTGTGATGTTCGGGCTGAAGAGAGCTTAAGAAGCTCCCGAACGATCGACCAGGAGGGAGAGAACATGCCAGTTGGGCATGTGTCTCTGCCAGGGTCCTACTTGAGTGTAGACTGAACTCCTGAATACAAAATCGGTTTGGTATGAGGTTTTAGTACTCTGTACATGCCTCATACCAAACTGATTTTGTTGTCAGGAGTTCAGCCTACACTCGAGTAGGACCCTGGCAGAGACACATGCCCGACTGGCATGTTCTCTCCCTCCTGGTCCTACTCTGCTGTCCCCCCAGGAGCGTTTTCCACAGATGAACCAGTGGTCTGACTCAGTACAGGGCACCTTCCTAGGTTGCTCTACAGGAAAGGGTTGCAGCTCAGTCTGCTTTAGGATGCAGCAGGTTCCAGGTTCAATCCCTGGCATCTCTGGATAGGACTGGGAAAGACTCCCTGTCGGAAGAATGGCAGATGAAGCTGATGGATTACATGGAACTGGAGGAAATGACTGGCAGAATCCGAGACCAGGGAGAAGAGTCGGTGGAAGAAGATTGGAAGAAATTTAAAGTATATTTACAGAAATATTCTAAAATTAATGAATGTTAGAAGGATGCTGGAAAGAAGTTATATGACTTTAGTAGAAATATTATAAAGAATTAAGCATGAATAGATCGACATTGGGTAAAGGTGTAAATTTAAGGCTAAATTGCGTTAAGATAAATTATGGAACTAAATTTGAGAAAGAGGGAAAGGACTTGCTGGAATAATTAATTGAACTAGAATACAAAAAAGGAGGTGTGAGGAAGTCGAGGAAATCAGCAAATGAAAGATAAGGATATGAAAATACGGGGTCCTTTTTATTTTTGTTTGTTCTTTTTGGGGTTTTTTAAAATGCTTTTGTTTTTTCTTTTTTTCCTTTTTGTATTGTTGATGTTTTGTATTACTGTATTTATTTTTGTTTTTGAGGTTTTGTAATTGTTTATTGCTTGTATTTTTCTTTTGTTCCTTTTTTCTTTTCTTTGTAATGTTTAAACTTTAATAAATATCTTATAAAAAAAAAAAAGGAAAGACTCCCTGTCGGATTCTGCCAGCCAGAGTTGACAGTACTGAACAAGGTGGATCAATTGCATGACTCAGTTTAAAATCCCATGGTGGTGTAGCTCAGTGGCAGAACATCTGCACTGTGTGCAGAAAGTCCCAGGTTTAGTCCCTGGCATCTGCAGGTGGGGCTGGGAATGTCCCATCTGAAAACTTGGGAGAGCCACTGCCAGTCTATGAAGATAACACTGACCTGGATGGACCAGTTGGTCAGACTCAGTATAAGGCAGCTTCCTGAGTTCATCCTGTCAATCACACAATGAGGACTGTGAGTGTATTTGTCTGTCCATCTCTTCCTCCTTCCAGGGCACCTGTTTTCATACATTCCCTTCAATTGTGCCACAATGCAATGATATAGAGGCATTGTGTGTGAACTAGACCTTGTCCCCACTGGACTCAATTGCTTTAGAATAAGCATGCATCAAACCCAACGATTGCTCTGTTTCCATAGGGTGGGGAGGGCCGACATGTCATTTTCCTGTATCTGAAAGGGACTGGGGAAAGCAACGCGGTTCACTGCTGCCATTAAGTTTTTATCTCTGCAGAAAGCAGCTGCTCCAGAGGAGCCATCATGGGGCATGGAATCTGCTTGCTGCAGCACCAAGATCTGAAAAGCAGTTTCTGTTTCAGGGGCAGTTTGGGCTTTTCTGCGCTCCTCTTGAAGCGTTTGGAAATAGCACAAGACTCTAGGCGCTACTCTCCTTCAATGCTTAACACATTTCACAGGCAGCTTCTGTTCTAACCTTTAAGCACCTTTCGACAAACTTTTCTTTGCCATCAACCTTACGCTGGCAATTAAGAAAACACCCTTCTGTTAATAGTTGGCAGATCTCTCATTTTTATATGGTTTTTATTGTGTTGTTTTATTTTTGACTGTTGTAAATGGTTCTGATGTTTTTTTATGAGCAGCAGTATATAAATATTTTTATTAAGTAAATAAATATGCCTTAGCTTTGGGAGCTGTTTCCAGAACAGGACTCTTTTGCCCAACGTGGGGCTCAGACCCCATAGCCTTCTCTACCAACTGAGCTATCCCAGTAGACCAGCGGTGGGTAGCATGTGATCCTCTAGATCAGCCTTTCTCAACCTGTGGGTCCCCAGATGTTGTTGGACTACAACTCCCATCACCCCTAGCTAGCAAGGCCAGAGTTCAGGCATGATGGGAGTTGTAGTCCAACAACATCTGGGGACCCACAGGTTGAGAACCACTGCTCTAGATGTTGTTGGACTCCAACTCCCATCTGCCCTGATAGACTCGTTCACGTGGTTGGGGTTGATGTGATTTGGAGTGCCACAACAACAGGTTGGCCAGCCTGGGGCAGATCAGAGCACTCAGGAGTCACAGCCAAGAAGTCATTTAAGACCAAAGGAGTCAAGGACAGTCTCAGTATCTCCCCACTGATGTGAGGGGTCCCCCAGATAAGACATCAGTCCATCTGAAGCTCCCCTGACTAGGATGCAAAGGTCTTTCAGTTTCCTACGAAGAGACATTCTACGGCCCTGATATTCCTTCAGTTCAAAAGATCAAATCCCCGGGTGCTGTTGTCATATTTCACCCACATTTGAAAGGTAGAGAATTTTAAAAAATGGAATCCAGAATTTCTCTATTTCTAAAGCTGGATTTTAAAACCCAGTCTTAACATGTTATGGGTCCATATAGTTAAAGCTATGGTTTTCCCAGTAGTGATGTATGGAAGTGAGAGCTGGACCATAAAGAAGGCTGATCGGCGAAGAATGGATGCTTTTGAATTATGGTGCTGGAGGAGACTCTTGAGAGTCCGATGGACTGCAAGAAGATCAAACCTCTCCATTCTGAAGGAAATCAGCCCTGAGTGCTCACTGGAAGGACAGATCCTGAAGCTGAGGCTCCAATACTTTGGCCACCTTATGAGAAGAGAAGACTCCCTGGAAAAGACCCTGATGTTGGGAAAGATGAAGGGCGCAAGGAGGAGGGGAGGACAGAGGACAGTGTTCTCAAAGCTACCAGCATGAGTTTGACCAAACTGCAGGAGGCAGTGGAATACAGGAGTGCCTGGCGTTCTCTGGTCCATGGGGTCACAAAGAGTCGGACACGACTAAACAACAACAAAAAACATGTTATGGTGTAGAAAGGTCAAAGCTGAACTGAACTTGCACAGCTTAGGGAAGGCAGAAAGTAATGCCAACATTTTTTTATTGCAAATGAATAGTTTGCTTTTTATAATGATCCGTAAACAACAATATAATTTGGATGCAAGACGGATTGCGATGACTTTCCTTTAGCATATATACTCATTTATTTCCAACATAATAACATTCCCTACGTGTTCACTGACTGGAATATGTTTTCTGGGTGCAATGTGGTTTTCCTTATGACTTAAAAAGATTAATTAAAAAACCGGTAAGGCAATTTTGATTGAAAAACAAAAAAAAGGAGTAAGGCAATATGGTTAAGTATTAACTTGGCACATTCAATATTTTGCACTTTGCATTTCAAAAGTCCTTGAACCAAACAGCACCCTTAGCTGAGAACTACTGGAGGGGAAAAAAAAAAGCTTAGGAAAATATACACATTTGACCTTTTTAAGGAATGAAGTTAAAGCTTAGTTAAAGCAGCTATGGTTTTCCCAGTAGTGATGTATGGAAGTGAGAGCTGGACCATAAAGAAGGCTGATCGCCGAAGAATGGATGCTTTTGAATTATGGTGCTGGAGGGGACTCTTGAGAGTCCCATGGACTGCAAGAAGATCAAACCTCTCCATTCTGAAGGAAATCAGCCCTGAGTGCTCACTGGAAGGACAGATTGTGAAGCTGAGGCTCCAATACTTTGGCCACCTCATGAGAAGAGAAGACTCCCTGGAAAAGACCCTGATGTTGGGAAAGATGGAGGACACAAGGAGAAGGGGACGAGATGGTTGGACAGCGTTCTCGAAGCTACCAGCATGAGTTTGACCAAACTGCGGGAGGCAGTGGAAGACAGGAGTGCCTGGCGTGCTCTGGTCCATGGGGTCACAAAGAGTCGGACATGACTAAACGACTAAACAACAACAACAACAAGGAAGGAAGGAAGTTAGAAGACACTTAATTGAGGTGTCCCTGCCTCACAAATATACATTTAAGCTCTAATATATACAGTCGTACCCTGGTTCTCGAATGCCTTGGTATTTGGACATTTTGGCTTCCAAATGCCACAGACCCAGGAGTGTTCCAGTCTGCGAATTTTTTTGGAAGCCAAACATCCAACGCGGCTTCTGTTGGCTTCCAATTGAGTGTAGGAAGTACCTGCAGCTAATCGGAAGCTGCGGCTTGGTTTTTGAACCGTTTCGGGAGTCGGACGGACTCTCAGAACAGATTAAGTTTGACAAACAAGGTACGACTGTTATACTATACTTAAGCCTAATGGGCTGACAATCCATCCCAAATGCACGATCATCATATAGCAGAGATGAAGGACCATTTACCCTCCTGGTGCCATTGGACTCTCATCAACTTCAGCCAGCATGGCTAGCGGTCAGCAATTACAGAAATTGGAGTCTACCGTATTCATGCTTGAGGTCCCACAGCTGTTGTTGGACTTGCATGCAAAGACAGCCTCCGGGAGATTGAGCAGATGAGACCAATTGTGGCTCCAGCAGTCCAGAAGGCGGTTTCTTCAAGTGCTGTAGATGGAAGTGAGGGGCAGATGGGGCTTGTCAACCTTGGAAGGTAGCGTGGGAATGTTCAGGGATGCAGGAGAGGATATATTGTTTGATTATATCCTTTCCAACTTGTGTTAACAAGTTCTACAATTTAGCAGAGTAACATTCCCCTTTCTAAACTTGCACAGTGGATGTGTTTGCTCAGGCTCGCTAAAGCCTCTAAAATAAGTTTCCTTGGTAATTTCCCCTTTAGTCCCTCATAAAAAGATAGACACGACACAGTCATCTATGAAAGTATAAAAAGAGTTTACGCACTCACATTCTGTTCACAAATGGACCCCAGAAGGCACACTTAAGTTAGAAAACTAATATACCTGGAATCTATCCCATAAAGAGACAGTCCCTTTGTCCTCTCGTGGCTGAGAGCATCTTAGGCTAGGCAGATGTTGCTTCTTCGACGAATGCAGTCAGAGAGAGAGAGATGGCTGACCAGTCCTGCTCTTTTGTTACCTGGGCAGGTGAGGCCATGCCACCTCTAGTCACATGCAGAGGAAGTCTGTCCCAGCCTAGGAGAAACAGGAAGTTCTGACTGGCTGGTCCAGACATCCCCTTTTATGTCTACTCTAGGGATGTTGACTGCTCTTGTGTTTCACATCCCACAGGTAGCCCATCTGGAAGAAGGAAAGCTCTGGTCCTCAGCCTCTGCTGCCTTGCCGGATATCTTCAGGAGAAGTAAAGGCTAAGGAGTAAACCCTACACAAATCCGGAGTGGAGTCCATAAGGTGGTTGGATGAGGCCTTGTACGCCTCCTTCCGGCAACTCCAAGCTGCTACCAAATGTTTTGCTCTGCTTTCCTTTGGACCACACCAGCGGGCTTGAGAGGGGGGGTGTCTTGTCGTCTGGGCATCCCAGGACCTTCAGACACACTGCCCAGGCTTGCACTTCAGTGCTGCTAACAGAGCAGTTTGACTTCACTCCCAAAGGTGCACTCCCTCCTTGAAAGTTTCATCTGGCTGGAAGGCATTTGAATGTTTTCAACTGGCTTGGATGCGGGGGTAGAGCGTGGGTGTTTGTGGAAAGTAGCCTACTGTACAACAGCAAAATATACATTTGCGGTTCTGCCACTTATGCCGCTGGCCCCACCCACAGCTGAAGGTGGCCCTTGAACTGGAAAAGGTTCTCCATCCTTGCAGCATAACAAGTGCCAGATCTAACCATTCTGAGCTTATTCCACCTCCATCGTTCAGCCCGGACACTGAGGTCCAGCGCCGAGGGCCTTCTGGCAGTTCCCTTGCTGCGAGAAGCTAAGTTACAGGGAGCCAGGCAGAGGGCCTTCTCGGTAGTGGCACCCGTCCTGTGGAACGCCCTCCCACCAGATATCAAGGAGATAAACAACTATCTGACTTTTGGAAGACATCTGAAGGCAGCCCTGTTTAGGGAAGCTTTTAATGTTTAATAGGTTATTGTATTTTAGTGTTTTGTTGGAAGCCGCCCAGAGTGGCTGGGGAAAGCCAGCCATATAGGCGGGGTATAAATAATAATAATAATAATAATAATAATAATAATAATAATAATAATTCAATCAATACCCTCAGCCTTACTTTCAGAGCTGACACAGAGGGGCTTGCTTGCATGAGTCTACTGTTTCCTGGGGGAGCTGTTCAGTCTTCTGCGACATCTCTGAAGGAAAGAGGGGAGCAATAAGAGTAGAAGCATTGCAGAAACAATGTCCCCCTAGCAACCACTTTCTATAGAACACTATGGGCTCTAGCAGCGAGTATCCATGGAACATTGTCCTCCTAGCAACCATTTTTTACCAGGAGCGGACAGACGACACAGCATGCCCGGCGACTGGTTAACATGAAGCTCTGAGCCATCTAATAATGCCCCGTGGCAAGAAATGCCTTGTCCTCCTATGGGAGTTCTGGTTTCAGCCAGAGTGCCTCCTGAACATTGCATTGGTTCACAGGTATCCTAAATCAGAGAGCCAGTGCGGGGCAGTGGCTTGTGTGCCAAGCTAGGACCTAGGAGACCTGAGTTCAAATCTCCACTTGGCCATGAACCTCATTGGGTGACCTTGGACCCACTGCCTCTCAGCCTAAGCTACCTCACAGGGTTGTTGTTGAGCTTAAATGAGGAGGGGCAGAACCACGTGTACAACATTTTGATTCTTTGGCGGGGGGGAGGAGATGGGATATAAATAAACTGAAACAAATATGTGCAAAGATTCAACACCTGCCCAGTTTTTTCTCCCCAGTTTCACCACTCAGGTTTTGAATGCTAACTTCTGGGGCTTCAAAAGGAGAAATCACATCTCAGCAGTGAAATCTGAGTGCTTTGAACCTGCCAGTTTCTCCCGACTATTTCGGCAGCCAGTCGAACATGAATGGCTGTCGTCTGTCACTGACAGCTGTCCAACGCTGTCAAGATGCTAAATACCATTGCATATTGTCAGGTACCAAATATTATGAAAGGTTGTCAGTGACTACGTGTCAACATTCAAGTATGCCACCGAACACTGTCAGATATCAAATGGGATATCAATTACCTATGGGAAATAATATCAGGGAATATAAGAAGAATGGCCCAGATCAGCACCTGAAGAGGAAAAATTTGGGGAGCAAGCTTTGTTTGCCTCTAGTTTAAATAAGGCTGTAAATCCGCCTCCCAGCCAGATTCCCATTAAATTAAAACGAGCCCCTTGCAAACCATAAACGACCTCTTCGTCATTCCTTAGTGCCCACAAGGGCTGCGGAGAGAGGGTAACGGGCATTTTAAGCATCCTTTGTTTGACTTGCTTACTATTGCACTGCGAATCCCGCGTTAAGTGTAAAACAAAGCATTCTAGGCTTGACAAACGTTGGGTAGTGCGAGTCAAGTTTCATTACAGCGCCTGAGTCAAAGTTTCATTGCTGCAGCTTAAATCTGCTCTGCGTTGACCTGGTCTGGGTTTGCAATTTTATCTTGTTTTCCAACTCTCTTGGTGCCGCAGCACTGATATATCACGGGGGTGGGGAATCTCAGCATATCTGGCCCTTCGGACTCTCTCAAACCTCCTCCCTGGTCCCGCTCCATGCTCCCATCAAATGCTTTTGCCTGTGGTGGCCAAGCATTCATAGCAACATCGTGTTACTGAGCGGTGATAATGCCTTGTCCTTGCCTGGGAAGAGAAATTGTGGGTTTAGGTCCCCAACATCTGCATGGATGGGATGCCTCCTACTGCACCAAGGTCCAGAGTCACATCTTTCACTCCAGCTGCTTGTGTCTCTGGGGCTCATGTGGGCCCCAGAAGGCTGTTTGGGAGAGAATGCTGGGAAAAGGGTTCTTAGATATATACCTTCCAAACTGTCAGGCTTCAGAGAATCAGCTTCTTCCCTGCTTTAGCAGTAGATAAGCAGAACAAAGGGTTTCGGGTGGCGCTGTGGTGTAAGCCACTGAGCCTTGGGCTTGCCGATCAGAAGGTCAGTGGTTCGAAGACCCACGACGGGGAGAGATCCCTTTGCTCGGTCTCAGCTCCTGCCAAACTAGCAGTTCGAAAGCACGTCAAAGTGCAAGTAGATAAATAGGTACCACTCCAGTGGGAAGGTAAACGGTGTCTCCATGCGCTGCTCTGGTTTTGCCAGAAGCAGCTTAGTCATGCCAGCCACATGACCCGGAAAAACTGTCTGCAGACAAATGTTGGCTCCCTCGGCCAGTAAAGCGAGATGAGCGCCGCAACCCAAGAGTCATTCACAACTGGACTTAACTGTCAGGGGTCCTTTACCCTTAAGCAGAACAAAGGGAAAGGAGTCTTCTTGCCAGTTTGAATTTTAATGATCACAGTGAGACAACAAAGAATCCATTCCTAGGAATGAAGATGATCCCAATTAAGGGTACCACCCACTTCCTCCCTAGTCACCCACGTCACTACTGCGTCTTGGACTCTGATCAACCACTGTGCTTTCTGTTCTGCCACCTTGTCTGCTCTTCTTGACCTTGGGCTGAGCAGATGGACACTTTTTAGAGACAGTGAGTCTGTTAACTCTCTCTCTTCCGGTGATTCTTCTGCTTGCTGTTCCCCATCCAGTATTTCCCAGCTTCTGCCTTCTGAACTATGTCCCTCTGCAAACCACTGTTCCAAATCTATACTGTCCTTCTGCTCCTGGGAAGATTCCAGGTTGGGGGAGGGGCCAGCTCCCACCATTCCTCCTCAGTGCAGCCCTCTGTAGCATGATCCCTGACACAAACCCAGTATAGATGCAAAGTCCGGATCCTTTAGGAACTACACATTGTCAGAGCTGGCATCATTTTCGCCTTTTGAACAGGTTGTGATGTGTGAAAAAGAGGTTCTGAGAATAGAAAGAGAGATGTGCTTGCTGGGCTACCTCACACAGCATTACCTGCTGCCACAAGGGCACACAACCTGTTTCAGAGCACAGTTCATCAGTTCACTTGCGCAAATTGCTGCAAAGCATCATAGAATCGTAGAGTGGGACGGGACCTCAATATCATCTAGTCCAACCCCCACTGCAATGCAGGAATCACAAATAAAAGAATCCCTCGCCCCAATTGTCAAAGCATCAGCTGGGAGGGCTTGTGGCTGTCATTGAGAGCAGATCAACAGCTGCAGCAACAGGGTCTGTGGGCCAGACCTCCCTGCCCATTTGTCAAACACGTCTCCCATTATGGTGGAAAGAGAAATCCTGACATGTTTGAAGAAAGTCGCCTGTGAATCAACTCTGGGACCCTTCTTCTGCCTCCGAGTCTGCAGCTCTATGTAGGGTTCCCAAAAGGCGACACCAGAAAGAGGGAAGGAGGGAGACACGTAGTTGCATAAAATTTGCATGTGCTAATTTATGTGGGCAGGTGCAACTGCAGAAAATATGTATAGGATTTCAAAAGAAATACAAGGCACCTCATAAGAACGTAAGAGAAGCCTGTTGCTTCAGGCCAACAGAGCAATGGCGCCCAGCTGTATCCAAGCAGGGACCGTGATGCAAAATCAGTGCGGTTTTAAAAGCTGGAGTCCACCATCTTGATTCAAAATGGCACCCAAATGCACAGAGGACAGACAAGCATCTTCCCAAAACATATGGTAAATGGGGCAGATCCATGGAAAATGACTACTGCTGCCACCATTGTTGCTGTTCCCACTGTCCAGTGGTGGTGGTAGTCCTGGGGGAGTTGCTATAAGCAAACCAAGGAGTCCCTTGTTGCCATGAATTCAGGAAGTGGCCTGCCTCTTCACCCTTCCCATCTGCAATATGGGCTACTCATGCAGGACATGCCTTGGAGGGGTGTGTTCCATGAAACACATTTTGACGCTTCCACATTCCATAAACACTGCATATAATACATTGCCTCTCATCTGGGTGCTAATAGGCAGGGCTCTGGGATTATACAGGGCTGCATGCTTGTGGAGTGAGACAGCGCATGCATGCATGCATTAGAGGCGGAGATGAGGGAACATTTGCTTCGTTGCAGGAACATGCCTGGCATGTGGCGGAGGTGTGCCTGGGAGCATATTCGGGCTGGCTCTCCCCTTGCCATCCAAGCTGTCCAGTCACGTGGACCAGCCAAGAAAGTTCCAAGAGCTTTCTGGTGTTCTGCTGGTTGCCATGGAAACCCCTTTCTCTCTCTCTCTCTCTCAGCATCCCAGGCCAGCCAGCAACGTGTCTGCCTCACTTTATCAAGCGGGCTGTGTAGGGGAGCAGGAACAGAGAGTGCTTGGGGAGGGTGTGACAACTGCAAAGGCTTTGGTTTCCTGGGCACGTTTTTCGGTGGCTGCCTATTAAGCGGCACAGGTTCCTCTTCGATTTGAGGCAGGCTGAGTTCAAATGGGGTGTGTGTGTATTTAGCTGTGTTATGTAGCAAACCAGAGAGAGAGAGAGAGAGAGAGAGAGAGAGAGAGAGAGAGATTGCATGTGTGTCTTTGTGTGTCCCCACGATGCATCTGGATGTAAATAAAGCTGTTTGGAAATATTTGGTTCCCTGGAGCAGGGAGTCCATAACTGGATTTGGACAGGGAGAAATGTCCACATTTCCCTCAGGGGTCAGAACTTTTATGTGATTATACTGAACGGGTGGGACGAGGACATTGCCTGTTGGTTTATTGACCGTGTGTCTAGCCTGCTTTCAAGACAATGATAATTTCCCCCAAGCAGCTCACACTGCCCTTTTCCTAACAACAGGGATAGGTCACTAGCAGCCCTCTAGATATGTCACTGGACTCCAGCACCCATCATTCCCTGAGCACTGGCTGTGCCAGCTGGGACTGATGGGAAATGGAGTCCAGAAAGGTTTAACACTGGAAAATTCCAATGAAGTGGTTTCTGAACTCCTTAATCTGTTGATAGCTAACTGTTGTTTTCTGCTAGCTAACACACGAGTGTTTAACCTTAGATCAGGTGGCAAATGTATTTGCTGTCAAATCTCCATTTTGAAAGGGAGTTGCCTTTAGTTCTTTGTTCCCAAGCTCTGCGAGAGTAAGGATGTAAATGAGGCTCTCCAGGTAAACAGCTTCAGGCTAATGGAGGCTGTAAAGACCTTTGCTTATAGATCAGTTTGGAGTATTTCATATTTTATAAGATGCTGCGTCTGTGCTGGGCGGCACAAGATGTCTTGTAGAATTATTTGGATTATCTTTGATGTTTTTGTTCTGTTACGAAGAAAGTTCTGCAGGTGAAATTTTGAACAATTTAATGGGTCTGGGCCATGCTTCATTCCAAAAGGACTTAGTTTTTATGCATCCAGTCGCTCCAAACTGCAATATTTATATCAGCAATAGCTGTTTCTCTTTTCATTCTGCAAGCCAGATCTCAGGGAAGGAGAAAACACACACTCTCTCTCTCTTTCCTTACTGAATTCCAAGAGCCAAAGAGGAACACATGAAGGGTCCAGTGTTATGTACTGAAGTTCTCACCCTGGGCCAGCAAGGGGATACTGTAGATAGTTATGCAAATGAAGGATTGAAAGTGACGTTCAGTGATTGGATAGTTTGTATGCAAATGAAGGATCGAAAGTGACGTTCAGTGATTGGCTAGTTACAGAAAATGGTTACTGTTGCATTCTAGTGGAACTCTATATAAGCAGGCTGACTGAGCTCCTCAGTTCAGTTCTGTTCCAGCTTACAAATAAAGAGCTGCTTTGGAAGAATTGCTGTGTCGTCTGATATGTTCGCCCACAACTTAACATCCAGTATGGCCCTGAGCCTTAAATTCCTCTTCTTGTCTTTCAGCACTGCATG